GTAAAATTGATTTCTGTAGAGATATATTCTGTTCCGACCTCGTCAAAGTTTTTGCTGCACGTCGCGCTGTCGAGCTAATCTTGAGAAGAACGGAATAGAGTATTAAAGAAGTGTAAATGACATTGGTATATTTTCGTTCTCCAGAATGAAGATAGTGAAAGATGTTCCCTCTTCAGTTCATGTATTTCGGTTTTTTGTATCTATTTTATATAACTAATGACAGATTTGAGCATGCAAAAATGAGAAAGTTTCCTTGGTTTTACAGGGAACGTCAGCCTTTAGTCCCCATTTCTTTTTGACCGCTTGGATTTTTATTACAAGATTGATCAAAGTGCAAGTGAACCTTCTGCCTTCAAAAGGTAAGCCATCTCCGCGATATTCCGCTCTTCAAGACTTTTCATTTTCTTGCGGGTGTGATTTGCATGATCAAGATATTAAGTAATTTAATAAATAAGGAAAACGGATAAAGTTAAACGTTCAAGTTTCTCTAAGATGATCACTTTACTAAGAGTTACCCTTTTAAGTGTTAATCTAGGTACGCCTTAGAGAAAGTAACGAGTGAGTGGCATTAAGAGTCAGGATCTACATAGATCAACACTCTCTAAAAAATATACAACAATTGATAACATTCTGGAGAGTGGAGAGAAGGGGAATGAACCTAAACCATACTTATGCAGCGGGATCCTTGAAGCTAATCTCCTGAAAAGTCCCATCGGTCATCCCTGCTATTCTCAGTTTTATTTCCGCTTCGCTTTGGCTACGAAACTAGCAATTTGAGAGAGCTTCAACGCGCCATAAAAGCGATGACGAATACATGTAGTAATGATGTTAATACATTGATGTCTAGAACACCTAAATTCTCGAGCCAACCTCGGGCAGGATTTTCTTGTGAGATAAATGGAAGTCCAATCATGAAAGAATTAATAAATTCATCAACTTTTTCCTGATTCATAAGTGGGAAATAGAGAAGAACGTTGAGCAGTGTTCCCCTTAAGGTACTTGTGTTTCGGTTTTGAATTTTACAAACAATGATGCATTTGAGCATGCAAAAATGAAAAAAAATTGTATTTTGTTTAGTACAGGGATCGTCAGCCCTTAAGTGTTCATTGCTTTTAAACGGTTGGATTTTCATCACGA